TGTGCCCATTTGTCTTACAGTGAGTCAAACCAATGAATCCGACTGTGTCTTCATCTGTGTGATGGCGGGGAAGTCAGGTGAGCAGCAGTGACCCGGAAGCTCTCTGGCTGAGCATTGAGCTTCACACTCCAGCAGTCAAACCCAAGCTTCTTTCTCCATTGTGTAACTTTTTTTCAGGAAGGGCTCTTTCTGACTTCTGGGAGATGGTGGAGAAATCCCCTGTTGTCAACTACACATTTACCAGTGGTGTTTCCAATGCTTTGGGTAAGTATAAACTATTATAGAGGCCAGAACAACCCCTTACCCTACGTTACTCAGATCCTCTGGAGAAGAGATGTTGCCTTTAGGAATTTTATTCAATTAGATGGTGCAAAATTAGAGGATTTTTTTCTCTTCGATTTAAAAAGTGGGTTTCTGGAGTATTTGTGGTGAAAATGTTGGCCTCCCTGTATCTTCCTCTCAGAGACAGCAAACAGCCGGGGCTGAGTAGCAGCTCTCTCCTTTCTCCCCAGTGAGGAATACCTATCTCTTTGCTCCCACAATCCTCTCTTCGCCCTCTTGCATTTCACATTGTTTCCTGTGCTAGCTGTGGGCTCTTGAAGCTATTGGAAATTTGATTCTAGAGTCATTGATCCCTGTAATTCCCAGGCCCGGCCCACCCATCATCACTTTCAACAACTACCTATCTGTCTCCTGTAACACCAGGTGCCATGTTGGAACCACTGCTAGCTCTTTCGTCCCCACATTTACTATCTGGAATCTGGCTCTGCCTCTAAGCCCACCTGACGCATGTGTCTGTTTCAAGTCTTCATCATCTACCAGAATAGCCTGTGACCAAATGTGCTCTGTCACACTCTTGCATTCCTTGTAAATTATCCACCCATAATAGTCACAAGAGCAATGGGGCTCAGATATGAGTCAGATTATATCCCTTACCTGAAAGAACCCAACAGTCAGCAGTAGAGGTTCCAGAGTGATGAGAGAGAACACATTTCTTCATATATTTGTTACTTCTCCATGATTCCTTGCTATGTTCCATTTGGAATCACATGCCCATGTTGGTAACAGGGAAAACATTTTAACACCATTCCGTGCAAATACGTTCATTCTGCCATCTCTGAGTAGAGGTTCTATTCTACTTAGCCGTGTTTCACAGCTTGAAGGTTCTTAGGTTTCCATTCCAGATGCTACAATCTCATGTCCTAAAGATACGCAACCCAAAACCATCTTTTGTGGTTCAACCCAGTATCTGTATATAATCTGGACTCTGTGTTACTCTAGGTTATATCCAGTGACATTTACATGTGTATCTCCTCAGTGACTGGACCTTGAAAGCAGACAGCCTCCTGTTGTCCCACCGTCTGCCCTATGCCTCAGTGTTTCCCATGGCATCTGTATACAGTCAGCTTTTCAGCAGCGTTTCCACGGTGAACTGATAAACACAGTCAATGATGTTCCAATTTCACTGTGGTGGCCTTCTTTGATTTGTGATATTGTAGGGCGTGTCTAGGTCGTTTCTTCTGTGGAAGAAAGCTCGCTTTATGAGATGAGTTAAGCATGCAACAAGTCACCTTTTCCTGCTCGCTGCTGAGAACAGAGCTGAGGACTAAGTCAGTCTCAGCTTCTCACCCCTAATCTCAATCAGGTCTGTCTTTAGTGCTCTTTCAGTAAGAACAAATGCTCAAAGAGAGAAAAAAAAATACTTACATTTCGGCACTATTCTTGACATACCTGATAGTCACTTTCCTGTCCAGGTGACAGTTAGGCCGAAAGGATCCAGCCCATGTCTGACTCTTGGGATCAAGGCTTAGGTGGCATGAGGTGTTTGAGGTCTAGATGTGAAATAGGGTAGAAGAAAGGATTTGGGGTCATCTCCTGCAACCACATAGGTCAGTCCCTATATGCAGTACCTGTGAAAGGGCAATGAGTAAACAAAATCCAACACAAACTGAAGATCAGACCTTGTCCACCCAGAAGGAGGAATACTATAGGCTAGCGTGTACCTCTTACTTACCTTATAGCCACACTGTTCAGCCTAGCTTTTTCTTAGTCCTCTCAAGGAGGAGCACTAGCCAACTTAACATTTCTGCCTCTTTCTCCTATTCATTGTGGAATGAACAGGTTCATTAGAGAGATTTCTTTCTCAAAAAAAAAAAAAAAAAAAACAAAAACAAAAACCCTGCAAGTTCTGTTTTGCTGAGAATCAGACTTTTAAGTAGTTTCTTCTGCAAAGCCCTGATTTTCTTGATGCTACCTCAGTCTCTCCATGTACTCACAAGTCAAATATCATGAGACTCTTAAAGAGACAAGTACCAGGGTTCTGGAGCAGCTGAGGGGCTTCAAAGTCACAAAGAGACTCTGACAAATCCCTAGGTCTCATCAACAGAGACAGTCAAAGTCTGGCACTTTTAGCTCTGACCACTTTACATCTGTTCACAGTGGTTTATCATACAACTTCTGTGGAGTTAGGAGAACATCCTTTGGCGACGTTTGATACTGTTCCCAGTAATATGAAATCTGTATTCTATAGAGTTGCTGCTTAATTGCCTTTTGGTGACTCAACAGTTCTACTTGCCCAAAGTGGCAAGCAAATTAAAGCTGCCATTGGTTATTTCCTCTGAGGTACAACTACCGGTGGAATAGCCAGGACTCCGGGGTTCACCACCCAAAGCCAGCAGTCACGTTCAAGGTCATCTCCTGCACACTGGAGCACACAGTGGGCATCTCATCTGAAGACCTTCCCCTGGACAAAGACAAGTACTCCTTCAGAGAAAGAGGTGACAGAAAACAAAGAGACGTTTCCAGAGCTTCCTGCTGGGACCATAGCCACACAGAGCAATGCCACCTACACATGGTCAACCTCAGGTGAGATGACTTCTCCGTTTTCCCTCTCCTCTACTGTGGCTCCCTTCTGACTCCTCTAATCTCACATACATAACTGAAATGCTTTCCTATGACTCTTTCCACCACCTTAGTATAAATAGTGTTCAGAAAGGTCAGTCAAGAGTGGGGAATTGCACTGGTGATATGGACTTCTAGAATTTGTGTTAACAGGGTTCCATATTGAAATAAGCAGTTTTGAGAAGGCCCGGAAAATAGTACCAAGTGTTCGCCAATACCTTTAACCCAGCCTCCCCTACTTACCATATCTTACCTAACGATAGTATTTGCTGGAATAAGACATGTTTATTTCAACAAAGTAGGCTGATGTCTTTCTCTGGAAATTCACAGAAAATGGTTAGGTCGACATTTCATGGCATAGATTGGTTAATCTGCACCTTACTGGATATTGATATCAAAAATGTGTTAGTGACTCCACTCTAGCATAAAACAATATCAGTAGTGGCTGGTCAAGAATTTTTCTAATCAATCCTACTACATTTTGTGCAATGTAGACAGTATGATCACCAAACACAAAAGGCACAAAGACCTTTTATTTCCTACCTGGATTAATAATTGAATGATCTTTCAGTGAGAGTCAGATTTATCTATCCTAACAATCAATCGGAATCATCATAAGTCTTTAATTCACTCACTCATCAAAGAACACCATTGCTTCCTGCCATTAGAGTGTTTGAAAATGGCTCTTAAATTTTTCTGTCTGCTCACAGACAGGAGGGAGACATACTACAGTCATGATCCAGCTTACATTGAGCTCTTTCATTCTTGAGCCCAACCTACTCAGCACAGAAGAAGATGAAGCCTTCCCCAAGGAGGCAAGGATTAAAAGGAGGCAGGCAGGCTACAGAAAGGGTGTGTTTCCACAATGGAGAGGAATAACACTCAACTCCAGCAACTTCAAAAGGTTAATATGGTGACTTACATCATGAAAACTACCCAAAATTGTAAGATATTTCAGTATAACATGAAAATAGATGATAGCTAGAGGCAAAAAAGTAATAAAACACCTAGCCATGGTCCTGAAAGGAAAACACCAATTGATATAAGAAAAATCACAGAATAAAAATATTCAGCTCCATGAGAGGACAACTCGTGTTCTACATGAGATGTTTGAATACTTTTAAGGAGGCAATTGTGCTCCACTTAACTCCCAGCTGTGAAATTATCCACTGGAATTAGTTCTATAAACTTTGAGAGGAAAGATTTTTAACTTTCTCCCATGGGAACAAACATTTTTAAAAAACAATTAGGGAATATTTTAACTAAGGAACTCTCTGAGAGTTATTATTATTATCAATTTAGTGTCAAGGCTAAAAAGAAGGACTGTGGATGTATCTCAGTGGCAATCACTGGCATCATGTATTAGCTACTTTCTTTTTCTTTGTTGTTTTGACTAAGTACAAGAAGCAATGGAAGGGAGGAAGAGCACTGTTTGGTGTATGGTCCAAAGAGATACATTCTACCATAGAGGGTGAAGCAAGGTGGCAGAACAGGAGGCAGTTGTATAAGATCTACAGTCAGGTAGCAGCTAAGGTTCCATAACCTTCTAAAGTAGTACCATCAGCTGGGGGAACAACTGTTCAAGCACATTCACATTTAAAACAATACACAGCAGGTGCAAAACCCTGAATTCCATCTCCAACACTGCAAACGAGAACACACAAGCAGCAGAAGTAAAATGTGTTAAGTAACATGCTTTACAGTATGAAGAAAGCAAGGGCAACCAATGCCTCCAGGTCTCTGAGTCTCAAACAATCTTCTCAGCCTATCACATGATTAGAAATATATCTCTTACATTTGAAACAAGGTCACCTTATCCTCAAGCACATATTCTAGCTTTCTGAGAGTCCAAGGGGTTTAGAGAAGATGTTTTGTTTTTATTCTGTTCAAAGATTGATTTGTCTGTTTTTATTTTATGTGTATGCATGAGTGCCTGTGTCCTGCTGGTATGCATGTGTATCTCACGCATGCAGTGCCTGCAGAGGCCAGAAGAGGGCTTCTGATTCCCAGGAGCTGGAGATATAGATGATTTTGAGCCACCATGTGGTTTTAAGAACAAATCCTGGGTCTTCTGCAAAACCAGCAAGTGCTCTCAACTAGCAGTCCATCTCTCCAGCCCAGATGCTTCTTTTGATTTGCTGCCAAAGAAAGCAAAATTCAGTGTAACCTACTTATTCCAGTCCACAGTAAAATATAAGCATCTGAATTGTCTGTGTTATATGTACGCATTGCAATTGCCCTTCGAGAGAATTTTATGTCTGCCGTCTTATACATGATCAAAGAGATCAAGAACAGCAATGCTAATGATTGTCATTCTCAACACACAGCTATGAGAAACATGACCCGAACACCATGGGTGACAAGCAGACAGACATGGGATCCTACAGAATCAGTGTCTATGTCCCAGACCATGAATGATAGCACATCTAAAGGGCCACCCTGGGCAAAAGGGCCACTCTGGACAAGCCTTCCCTCCACATCAGTCTCCCCTGCAGATGCCGAGCATCCCAAGAGCACAAGGAGGTTGTTGCATCCTTCTGGGCTACTGACCACACCCAGCAAACTAGAACAACCCAGCAGAGCCTCAGGTGAGGGACAACAATCACCTCCTTGGCAATTATGCTTGAAAATGGTTTGAACGTCTTTCTAAAATTTCAAATTCTGATACACATGCTGAAAGTAGGAAAAAGCAGTAAGTGATTTAATAAATGATGATAAAACCAATTCTCCTTCCTTTCTCTATTCCAGTCCTTTGTTCTCTTTTATGAATGAATAAATGAATGCCCCTTCTTCACAGGACTCTCCCATCTGCCTCCTTTTTCCCATGTTAATTGTACAAGGTAAAGAATTTCGTTATGACATTGCCATATTGCATAGAACATGTATTGACAATATTCACCCTTCTATCACTCTTCATTATTCCCTCTTTCTCTACCCCTTTCCTGTTCTCTTTCTATATCCCTAGTGTTTTCCATTTTAGCTTCCTGTAAACTCACTTCCTGGTTTTTCTTTGCCTTGTATCACTGCCTCTTAAGCAAATGGGCAGTGGCCTCGAGAAGTCAACCCTCCAGACAGGTTAACAGCCTTTGTTGTATAGTATTAGTGATACTATGTTGATTATATATACAGCATGTATATTTGATGCAATGTAAAATGATTGTTAATTATACATACATATAGATTTATGCCATCAAGTTATGAGGAGAGCTTGAGCTATAAAAAAGAATTTATCAAATTTGATAAGTTGTTGTATTGCATACGTATCCAAGTATGTTCATGCCTATGTGTATATAATGAAACCTCAGAAAATGGAAACAAAGCAAAATATATTTACATCCTAACCTTATATCTAACCTTACAGTTCCAAGATCATATCTGGGGAGTGCAGTTACTCTGATTTTCGTTTTCTTTACTTCATATTCATGAATTGTTCATAATTTCTCACAGACAACATGTATGTTTCTAACCATTCATGTTAAAATCCTTTCCTCTGATATTTACAGGTGGCCAGAAACCTTCTTCCACACCTATCATGATTAATGGGCTATAACATGTGTCACAGTCAGAGTGTTTGTAACTGTAAACTCGACACTCTTCCCTCTAAGACATGTTCTCCCTTAAGGCTTAGATCGTCAACTTCAGGCTTCTCTGAAAGAGGCAGTCATCTTAAGTTTGTCAGATGAATGAGTTTCTTATGAAATACAGGGCTAGGACAGAGCACTTGAAATTTAACAGACTTCAGACACAAACATCTCAGCTGTATCTGGGAAAGATCACTTGGGTACCTCTAATCACATAGACACCCGGTGTGATGAGGCGAGCTCTGTCCGTCATTTGCAGTAGTGGGGAGGAAAATTAAAGCAAAAATCACTTTGCGTTGATCAGTGGGGCATCAGTCACCATGGACCTCAGTTCTCTCTCAGTCTCAGACACAGCTGGACTAAAATCTTGCCTTTACCATGCACGCTCATCACAGAAAGTTTTCTTCTCCCTCTGAGTTCCCATTTTCTGGTCGGTTGGGTAAGAGTTGTCAGAGATCTTTGGCTCAGTCTGTGACATTTGGACGGCTATTTCTTCCTGCAACTCTTCTCAGCTAGCCCAGCCATCTACAGGAGTCACATGCCCCCAGTCCCTAACAGTTCAATATTCTGTGATCCCAAAGCCTTTTAATCAAAAGTTGGATGTGACTCAGGTTGCTCAAGATTTACGTAGAAATCCAAAAAGGAAGCAAGCATTACTGTACCTTCTTTACTGGAGGTTACAGCCTAATCAATACCTGAAGAGAAATCAAAAGATGATGTTGACACCCCCCATAAGAAAATGACCAGATTTCCCTTGGTGTTGAGGGATCCTGGCAGTTATGGGCTGTGTGTGGATGACAGTAGCAGTCCTCTTTGCAACTCACATGGACGTCCATGGGCTGACAGCCATGTTGAGTTAAACACCACAAAACTCACAGTCCATGCAGAAGAGTGGTCACAAATAGTGGACCGCATTACAGAAATGTAGGCTGGAACATGGGCTCCCCACAGCCCCCTCTTTTTCACTTTATTTTCTGGAGTCCAGCCACCGAAGAGTCTCTGTTGCTCATTCCTCCAGGTCTTTGCATGTGCTTTTTGCTCAGCCCAGGAGACCTATCCTTGTTAACTCTATGTGCCTTGTTGCAGTCAGCAATGGCATCTACTGAATTAGGTGCCTATCTACTGGGCCAGGTTGTAGCCCAGCCTTACTCTTTTCATTCATCCACAGAACGGAGCTGCCAGTTTAAACATATCTCTCCCTCACCTTCTAGAATAGAGGGCTGCTTTGCTAGCTTGCCAGAGGCCAGACTTATATTAGCATGGGTCAGGTCCTGAAGTGGTCCTAAAACCAAGACTTTATGAACATGGAAGATAGATGTTGAACTGACAGCTTAGGCTATTATTAAAATTATTGACCGGCGAATTATCAGGAATGTGGATGGAATCATGTGTATACCAAGACTCAGATCAATGACAAGCAAGCCGTGTTCACTTTGTCTTAGAGGGCTCATATTCATACGCTTCCGTGCTTCCGTGCAGTGCCACCAAATCTTACTGATACTGGAAAGTTCCCAATAGCCCCATCACACTTTACCAGGTACTGATGGGACTCATCCACTGCCCTTACACACTCCAAGAAGAAAATGACTGTGGCTGTATTTCTTATTCATTCCCGCACCTTCAGCACCCTGATTGACATCTGTTCACCAGTCAGCAGCACTGGTGAGACGTGGAGCATCTTCTTCAGGCTGGGCTCCCGTTGGAAAGATGCACGCTCACCTCTCTCCTTTCCTCTCAGGAACGCTCACCGCTGGAACACAGACTCCAAGTCCAACCAAGGCACCAGCTCCTAGAGACTCCCAGACAGGTGAGACTGCGTGGTCAGACCAAGAAACTCCATACCTTGAAGGAAAGCATAGCCTAGGAGGAAGGGGCACAGTGGGACAAGAGAGCCTGTAAGGATGCTGTTGCTGCTGCCCTTTATTAGAGGGAAAAAAGCTCAGGGAAGTGGTTTCATTGTCTTGGTGCACTGTGCATTTGTGTGACTCCAGTCCCTTTGACGGTCATTTCCTTGTGGATTTAAAGAACTCCTATCTTTGAAGCGTCAGGATTCTCTGATTCTATGTGTAGTAGCCCAAGGTCATCTCATTTTAGTTTTGGAGAATGTTCCTCTTGCTCTTTGCAGATGCTGTCCCTGCAGAGTGGCCCTTCGCCCCTGAGTCAGAGTCAGCCCTGGTCCCAGCAGCCCATCAAGTCTCAAGTGAGTAGGAACGCCCAGTCATTGCTTCAGCTTGCGTTTCCTTGCACGGGGTTGTACAGTCTAATAAAAAGGCTTATTTGATAAACGTAGACGCCGACTGCTAGGATGCAAATCTCAGCTCATCTTCTTTTGTGAGGTGTGGGGCATCCAGGATTCATTCACCCAATTTAGAGCAAGAACAACTGCAATTACCATGAGCACTAAAAGCATCTGTTCTCCTTATTCCTGTCTGCATGGTACATATAAGATAATGTGTACTGAACAGACTTGGGATTTTAAAGCTCTATGTTATTTAATCGGATCAATGTTCACTGAGGTAATATCTAAGAAACTGTGCTGATCGCTTTGCAAACAGAAGCTGCTCTTGTGATGAGCTGGTTGTCTGGCCGTTAACTGAGCAGGGAGGGAAGAAGATGTAAAATGATGACTCCAAAGTCCAAGCCCCATTTACTGGCTGTGACTCACTGTGGCTGTGTTTTAAAGGATGCCCTGCTGGCTACATCCTTGAACACTCCATTCCCATGGGTTTGAGATGCAGAGACTTCCAGAACTCCCAAGACTTGAATTTCTTTTCTCAGTTTTTGGCTGCCACACTCTCCTCTTTCCTGCGCTGTCAGCTCCCTGTGAATGAAATTGAGACAAAGTGAGACCTTCAAAGTTGGTCAGGTCCTCAGGCCCCGCCCCCTCCTGAATATCTTTCTATACAAGCTTCCTGACTGTTACAATGCTGGTCAGTCGCATGTCAACAGGGCATTATTAACTTGCTGGAGCCTGAAGAGTCTCTTGTTTCATATATCGTCAGACCAACTTCAGCCTTCACAACATCCAGTGAATGGTGAATGGGCCTTTCAAACAAAGACCCAATTGTGTTACCAAGAAATTGTGTCTCTGTCTCCTAGGACATCCAAAGGTGGTGCCAACAATAGTCAGGTTGAGTCCTAGAACATAATTTAACTATATGTACATCCATATTTACATATACAGCTGTATCTATATAGCTGTCTCTGTCCATCTGTCCTTCCACCTATCCACCTGTCTGCCATGTCTGTCTCTATATCTCTGGTCATTTCTGCTGATATTTCTTCAATACCTGTCTGATAGATCACTCTCTATCTACCTACCTAATGTGTACCATTTTCATCCTTTGTCTATAATCTGCTTCATGAAGTCGTCACTGCATAAAATGAAGAGGCTCTGACATCTTTGAGTAAATTATTTTGCTCATCCAAAATATTTGTGATATGTGGAAATCAGTCCTTAAGGATGCTAATTATATAGTGGAAATGTGATTCTTATGAGTATGGACTTGGAGTCAGTTCCCTGCAGAATCATTCACTCCCTATTCTGTGACATTGGAAAATACCTGGTTCATAGTAGATGCTAAATGAAATATTGATTGAAGTCTGGCAGTGATATATGGTGTAGGGGCAGTTAACGTTTCAGAAGACCTGCGGGAAAGAATATTTTGTTTCTATATATTTTAAATGTCTTTAGTTTTATGAACCCTCTCTCTACTTGCTAAATATTACTGATAAAGTATAATTTAAAAATTTTCAGACTGGGTTTAGGCTCAGTTGTAGGTCACTTGTCTAGCATGCATGGAGCCCTGGATTCCATCCTTAGTACCACAAAAAGTCTTTAAAAGTCTCATAAAATTTATAATATAACCCAGTCAGTACACTAAAGATGTTCTTCAACTCAGTAACTGGTGAGGAATCCAAAAAGGTCTTAAATCTCTACCAATGAAAAAACTGAGATTTACAAGCCAGTATAGGGAAGCAATTTCACACAAGCTTGACAATTGATAATCTATAGCAATAATTCTTTTTTTAATGGTGCAAAAATCAACAGTGCACTTGCTAGACAATGGTCATTTACATAGTTATCTGCAGTGTTCTCAGACAGCAGTCATATATTAGTATCAGCTAACTTGTACCCCTTTAGGGCTATAAAATATTGCTCAATGGGAGAACAGTTCAAGAGTTCCTTTCCTGGGCTGTGGGGTGACTTGATTGGCAGAGTGCTTGCCTACCACACGTGAAGCTCTGTGTTCAATATTCAGTACCACATAAATTGGGCATGATGGTGTATGTATGCCTGTGATCCTACAAATCAGAGGGTTGAAGCAGAAGAATCAGAAGTTCTAAATTAGCTCAACTATATAGCAAGTTTTAGGGAAACCTGAACTCCATGAGACGCCATCGCAAAAAAAAAAAATCAAATAAAAAACTTCATTAACTTCATTCTTCAATAAAACCAGATAGTCCCCAGAGTATTTGCTAGGCAACAGTCAGAGCTACACTAAAGAGAAGCCACTATTCCTGTCTGCTCATTTCATTTTGCTTGATGATGATGGGTGGCCCCTCCTGGGTGATTATAACATCCTAATATAATTCAGTGCTGGCTGAGAAGCCCTGTGTGAGGACTCTGATCCTTCTTGTTTGCTGCTGCATTACTACTAGTCTGTTGGTGTCTGGCGCATAGTAGACTCTCAAACAATTCAATAACTAAATTAACAATAATCGCTATTATTTGCACCCGTTTCATAGCAGGAATGTTGCCATATGCTCAGAGTAGAAGGATTTACTGACTCCTCCCAGTTGCTCTACATGCCGGGTCTGAGTCTCCTCATTCCTCTTGTAAGGGGGCCTGGGTGCAGGCTCTGGATTGTTTCAGGAGACCCGAGAGGATGAGATCTTTAACAACTCTATTTTCTTCTTTGCTTAACGTTTGTCTTCTTATCCTAAAAGCCACATACTAAACAATGAAGAAAAGCTGGTTGTGTGATACATGATCAACCTCGTCCTCAAGGTTGTCCAGCGACCTGGCTTGCTAGCTTTTTGTTTGATCCTACCATTCCCTTCTATATTAGCTTCTTGTTGCTGGGACAAAATACCTGGCAAAACTTGCTTCAGGAAAGAGGTTTGTTTGGGCCCGCAGTTCAGGGGTACAGTCCACCATGGCAGGGATGCCATGGCAGTGGGAGCTGGGAGCAGGTGCTCAGATTGTGTCTACAGTTGGGAAATAGAGGGAGGTAAGTCCTGGTGCTCAGAATGTTATCTGCCTTTCGTTCAGACCAGGATGTCACCCCATAGAATGGAGCCACCCACACTTAAGATGGGTCATTGCACCTCCATTAATCCAGTCTAGGTGATTTGACATCCTTTCAAGATGACAATCAGTACTAACCATCACACTTTCTTGACTCCTTACACATGGTGTGCGCGTGTGCATATCTATGTACATACACATGTATGCACATGCGTGCACACACACTTCATTTCCTCTGTATTTAAAGCATTCTCCATTCTTCCCCAACCAGCTATCCCCTTGCAAGATAGTAAGATTGCCTCTGCCCCAGAGATGCCCTACTCCCAGTGCATCGCTGTTCCACACTTGAGATGCCTCTCTAGAACATGCTCCTCAGAAAAATCATGCCTGATCTCCCTTAGAAACCCACTTCTCATCATTCTCTTCCTCCTGAAGTTCCCACAGTAGTTTCACTGAGCAATAAGGGAACCACGCTCTCTAGAATGTCTGGTTCCAACCTACCTGAAATAAGGGATAGACTGAACTCACCTGTCACAGCCTTACCCCAGGGAAGATGCTGGCTGAGCTCCTACTGATTTCACATGTCTAAGATTGCATGTTCCAGGGTGTCCTCAGCCACTCCTCAAAGACGGGGCCAGTACAGATGCTCCTCTGCCCCTGACCATGAAGAAACTCAACCCATGCCTGATGGAACTCTGTCGCTTCTTCCAGCAATGCCTCTGTGCCAACCGAAAGAGAGATCTCAGTTCAGAAGCCATGAGGTAACCTGAGACAGTGACTCCTTTGCACACCCTATAATTATAGACTTCTTATTGTGTGTGGTCTCCCTCTTAATTATCAGATAGCCAGGTATGAAATATTCCCAGGCAGGTGGTAGGTGACCAAAAGAAGTGTACTCTACGGTGTCCCCTTACTAGACTGTTATATCCTTGAGATCTATGACAGGCTTTATTCACCTCTACATTCTCAGAGCCAAGTGCAGGATCTGGTAAATATACTTGGGCTGAGCTACACTGAGCTAATTTATCTAAGATGAAGTGCGAAGAGCTGGAGTTGGATGGAGCTGAGATTAACTGATTAGGTTTAACTGAATGGCATGAATGGAGCTATGTTGAGGTGAATTGATTTTGGACAAAGCGAGTTGGGCACAGGCGAGATGAGTTGTGCTTAGACGGCCTGGATTAAATAAGGTTAAATGAGCTGATGAGATGAGACGAGGGCAGGTGCGTTGAGTTGAGTTTGGGTTCGACAGGGATGAGTCACACTATCTCTGGTAGAATTTCTACTGAGGACTTTGAATGTCAGTGTCCTCCACTTGAGGAAATTTTTGAGGAAAATGTAATCAAAATATTTGCTTATCTAAATTAGGTCCTTTGATTCACACCAGCTGCCGCCTGCCAGATGAGATGGTTGTAAAAATAAAATCGGAAGGCCCACCACACTTCATTAAGATGATATGGACATTGATATGCTCCTGCCATTAACTACCAATAGAAGATGATTCTGAGATGTATACGTGGTTATTAAATCCAGAGGCAAATGCAAACAGAGAAATGTATAGCATTCCCCAGTAAAACGGGGACTAATTTCTCAATTCCTTAATGTTAATCTTAAAAGCTTACTCAGATGTTCTTCATTTTTTAAAATCTCCATTACCCACTGCATCTGAGCTTCAAGTCCAGGTTTGCACCCTTTCTCCTTCATCTACTTTTAGATTTGATCTAGAATGCCTCAATATGTTTGGGTGTTTTTTTTATCTAGAGTGGATAATAAGCAAGTTTACAAACCCAATGGTGTGAACAAGACAGTGAAAGCCCAGGCTAAAACCTCTCTTTATAACAAGCCCATGGTCTCTCCACTGCAGAATTCTGAAGCAGCACTTAGTGCCTCAGATAAGGAGCTGTGGATCGCTTTGCAATGCATTTGCTGCGTGGCTAGCAATAGAGTTCTTCCACTCTCTTACCTTCACAAATACAAAAGAGCATCCTCACTTACAGAACATTTATACATTAGTATAGTTCAGGAACTTCACACCTATTATTTCACTTAATCTTGTGTTATCGCCTTTTACTTACACAGTAAGAAACTAAGGTGTAGAGAATTCAGTACTAAACCTAACCTCACACATCCTACTAAACTGTAGAAATCTAAGATTAAAGATAAAAATAAGCCTCATTGACTCCAAAGGCTGAGCTCTTTCCTAACAAGTATACTTCTCTACCCTTCCTCCCATAGTCTATAAAGATAAATAGAGGGTTCCTTGTTGTAACTAATGGGCCCTGTTTGTATTTGTTGTAATTACTCTTTTTGATTCTGGCTGTCTTCTCTCGGTCCTCATAGGAGAGTGACTATTCCACCTCTGCTTTAACCTTTAGATATTGCCTGGAATATTATTCCTGGTTTCTGAGGAATTCAACCCTGATCTGTCGGAGAGTGAAGAGGGTGTCCCATTCTCACAGTAAGTACCCGGCTTGCTGGTGTGGTAGCTCAGCCATGAGTACTTCTGACGGGAGGGTCTGGGACGCTCACAGCTTGTCTCACTTTGGCCAGGTCCGGAAGACTGCTGTAAC